CCAGACAAGTAAGCGTTGCTAGGAATTCGATTTAGCAGAAGAACTCGTCGACACCGAAGAGTTCTACCATGCCGAAAGCCAGTGAAGAGCGGCATGGCCATGACTCTTTGGAGAAGGTCCTGTCGGTCATGGTCGATCAAATTCGAATTCAGCAGGAGCAAATGCAAATGCAGGCGCAAGCTCTACAGGAGCAAATGCAAGTACATTTGCAACTGCAACAGGAGCAGCAGACGCAATTGCACGCTCAACAGGAGCAGATGAAGGAGCTGATCATCACCTTAGCCAGTAAACAGGGAGCCGTCCAGGATGCCAGCAAAGATAAATACGATGAGCTGAGTAAGGAAGTGCAATGATTTGTTCTCGGACGAGGAGACAGGTAACACGTTTGCATACTGGTACGGCAGGTATGGACTATCATTCGCGACGCCCAGCTGCCGGATCACAAGAAGCGCGACTTGATCCTCATGAAGCTGGACGAAGAAGCCTACCGGAAGTATGCGGATGAGGTCTTACCTGCGCAACCGCACGACTTGGACTTCGACACCACCATCGCGAATCTTCAGAAGTTATTCACCTCTAAGAAGACCCTCATTAGGAGGAGGTACGAGTGCCTGAGGATAGCATGTCCACCGCTTACACCAACGTGCGTACCATTTCGCGAGTACGCTAACACCGTCAAGCGGATGGACGAAGACGCTCGACTCAAGGAGCTGGATTACACGGCGATGAAGACACTGCAATTTGTAGCAGGTCTTCAAGATCTCTCGCTCAGGGAAGTTCGTCTTCGGATGATTCGTCGACTGGACGCTCACATGGACGAAGCACCGTTAACAATCGAAGACCTAGTCACGGATTGCGAAAATTTCACTGCTTTGAAAGTGGATAACACGGACATGGAAGGCACTCGCGACGTCCATGCTGTATGGAAGAAAAAGGTAAATTGCTTTAAATGCGGAGGACCACATTTTAGAAGAGACTGTCCACAATCTGACAATAGTCGGAAAAAGTGGCGGAAGACAGGAGCCCATGTGAGCCACAGGCGACAGAGCAAAAATGTGGTAGCTTTTGACGCCGAGAAGGCGCGGACTTATATCGACGTCGTAATCAGAGGATGTTCCCTCAAGCTACAGCTGGACACAGGTGCGGATATAACCCTGATTTCGCGTAGAGCTTGGAAGAGGATGGGATCCCCTGCTCTGGAACCCTGTGTGTTGCCCGTGAAAACTGCCGACGGGACGCCGATGCAGATCGACGGTAAATTTTCGACCGATTTTGAGGTCAAAGATCGAGTTACAGGGAAAACCGTTTATGGAACGGAATTTGCTACGTCACCGAAGGCTCGAATCTGTTGGGATTGGAATGGTGTATCCAATTGCTGGCGTACAAGAAGCTGAAGGACAACTACAACTGCAGAAAGGTGACTAGCGAGGAGAAATTTCGAGCCGAAGTCGTCGCCGATTTGAAGAGGAAATATGCGGAAGTCTTCAATAGCGACTTGGGAAAGTGCACGAAGAGCAAGGCCAAGTTAATATTGAAGAGCGATGCTGTACCAGTCTTCAAGAAGAAGAGGCCAGTTCCATACGCCACGGCACCGGAACTAGAAGCAGAAATTGATCGGCTGGTAGCCGAAGGAGTTATTTCTGCTGTAGAACACTCAGAGTGGGCCGCGCAATAGTGGCCGTCAAGAAAAAAATGGCAGGATTCGTTTATGCGCCGACTTCTCGACAGGACTCAACGATGCATTGCAACTGCATCAGCATCCATTGCTCACTGCGGAGGATGTGTTTACAAAGCTCAATGGAGGCCAGCTCTTCACTCAACTCGACCTAGCCGAAGCCTATTTACAAGTGGAAGTAGAGGAAACGTCAAAGGAGATGGACTATCAACACACATAAGGGGTTATATCGCTATAATCGTTTGCCATTTAGAGTGAAATCGGCACCAGGTATATTCCAGCAGATCATGGATTCCATGATAAGCGGACTTGATGGAGTAGCCGCTTATCTTGATGACATCATCATCACGGGGAGGAGTTATGAAGAACACTTCCAAAACTTGGAAGCCTTGTTTAAGAGGATCAAGGATTACGGATTCCACGTCAGGTTGGAAAAATGCAACTTTCTGATGCAAGAGATTTGTTACTTAGGTTGCATCATCGACAAAAACGGACGCCGGCCGGATCCAAAGAAGATTGAAGTCATTCAGCAAATGTCAGCGCCGAAGAACATAGCGGATGTTCGGTCATTCCTCGGCATGATCAATATTATGGATTATCGTGACCGAGATGCGTCAGCTTAGAGCACCCCTGGACGCATTGCACAAGAAGGACGCAAAGTTCGAAAGGACAGAGGAATGCCAAAACGCATTCAAGCGTGCCAAGGAAGTCTTAGACTCCGATCTACTCCTCACATATTTCGATCCTGACTTACAGATAGTGGTAGCTGCGGATGCGTCGGACTACGGAATCGGGGCTGTTATTCTGCACAAGATGCCAGATGGGACAGAAAAGGCTATCTGCCATGCAAGCCGAAGCCTCACAGCCGCAGAAAAGAACTACGGACAAATTGAAAAGGAAGGACTAGCATTGGTTTTCGCAGTCCGTAAGTTCCATCGATACATATACGGACGCCGATTCAGATTACTCACCGATCACAAACCGCTACTGCACATCTTTGGACCCAAGAAGATGGTGCCTGTGTACACAGCGAACAGGTTGCAACGATGGAAACTCATTCTACTCGCATACGACTTCGACCTGGAGTACCGCAAGGCAACCGAATTCGGACAAGCCGATGCACTGTCTCGACTGATCCCTCCAAGGCCATTCCAAACCGAAGACGTTGTCATAGCGAAGATAGAAGAAGAGGTGCGAGCTGTTCAAGCTGCTGCTGTACGAGCGTTACCAGTAACCCGGAGGAAGATTGAAGAAGAATCTCGTAAGGACGAAACCATTGCGCAGGTCATACGAGTGCTGCAATCAGGAGCATGGCCGTCCAAGCCGAAAGAAGAAGTCCGAAATTGGAGAGCACTGAGGGAGAATTTATCAGTTTAAAACGGATGTTTGTATTTCGCCCACAAAATAATCATTCCAGCCTCGCTGAGACAAGCCGTTCTGAAGCAGTTACATGAGGGACACCCTGGAATGACAAGGATGAAGATGCTCGCGAGAGGATTCGCATATTGGATGGGCATCAACAGAGAAATTGAAGATTCAGTGCGCCGCTGTAGGGATTGTCAAGAAGCCTCCAAAATGCCAGTGAGACATTGCTGCACTCATGGAAAGTAGAAGATAAACCATGGAATCGACTTCACATTGACTATGCAGGGTCGCCGAATGGCAAGATGTATTTCGTCGTAGTTGACGCTTACTCGAAATGGCCAGAAGTATTTAAGATGCCTTCATCGTCAACTACAGCTACCCTGAAAGAACTCAGATCTCTATTCGCTCGATTTGGAAATCCGCAAGTGATCGTGTCGAATAATGGGACGCAGTTCACAGCAAAGGAGTTCCAAGATTTCTGTGAAGAACGAGGAATCAAGCATATGCGTTCACCACCATTCCATCCGCAATCAAATGGGCAAGCGGAGAGGTTTGTGGATATCTTCAAAAGGACCTTCCAGAAAATTAAGGAGGGAGGAACAGAGAAGATTGCGGAGTTTCTACAGTCTTATCGACGAACGCCTTGTACAACTGCTCTAGGACAACGTTCGCCTCCCGAGCTGTTCCTGGGACGTCAGATAAGGACACCGCTGTCGCTGCTGAATGAAGACTCCAAAGAAGAAGGAATGGGCAACGAAAACATGGAGAAGCAGTTTAACCGCCACCATGGAGCACGAAAGAGAGCGTACCAGCCACAAGAAGCCGTGTGGGTACGTGATTTTCGCTCTGGATGTGAATAATGGATTCCAGCTCGAGTGAAGAAACGCTATGGAGAAGCATTATGTGGCGTGCTTACGGAAGACGGTCAGTTATGGAGGCGACATGCGAATCAGATGCGCCGCGCAGCATGTATGGATCGCCGTCATGACTCAACACAGTCTATTCCCGACGAAGGCCGACGTAACAATAATATGGATGCTGCTGGAGACCAAGCCACCTCGACTACTTCACTGACATCAACCAGACCAAGTCGCCATCGTCGCCCACCAGAACATCTACAAGTAGATCCTCACTGCAAGATGTACCGTTGTTCATCTTAGGAGGGAGGTATTGTAGAGCCGTCCCTCATATTGGAACTTGTTCGCTTACTATAGGCTAGGTCGATATGGTCTCTGTGATTGCGGCGTACCCACCGCGCCTTGATACATTTGCGTGTTGTTATGGAATATGGAACTATTCCTAGTGAACCCTCGGCATGTACGCCGATAGGCAGAGGGGGAACTCTTGTGTTTTTCTAATAAATTGTCAACGGCTCAACGCGTTCTACATCAATACCTAAAATCATCTATACCTGAAATCAAAAGACAACACGTTCTAGAATGTTACAAAACAGGTATATGCAGTGATAGGAGGAATTAGAACAAATACGAACATGCCAAAGAAAAACTATAGCCAAAATTTGATTAAGAAGAGTTGTGATGGAACTTATAATATTCTTAGGCGTAAATCACGCTGTTTTGATAATCGCGGTTGTTCTTCTTTTACGAAAGAAGGCAGCGGCCAGTGCAGTCAGTGCGGTCAGCTGCAGTCTGCTGCGGTCAGTGCGACAGTATGAAACAACCCTTTGTTTTCCTTTTGACATCCAAAGCGCCTCCAATAAGCTCTGTGACACACCTGGTCTCAGGCCTTCTAGCTTAAAGTAAAGCAATGATATCCGTAAATTATTGAGAATTAGCCTGACTACCGCCTCAATCCAAAGCGTATGTGTGTAGAGAGCAGTCCGGGTTGGTTTTGAGATACATAATCCTGAAAATGCAAACAAATAGAATACACAGATACGGAAACAATGTAACTTTATATTTGCATAAGAATAACATTGTTCTTGAGATATCATGTTTAGATGTCAAAGATCTTGGTTCCCCCATACAGAAGGATAATAGCCGAAGAGGCAAGATCCCATGAAGCTAATCTACACGTACTCATTGCAGAAATGCTTAGAACTTTTTCTGTAAGTTGAGCACTTTGAGGCAGGGTCCTGGCAAATCTGAGCTCAAGGGTTTTTTGCCTGGAAACTGATGAGGGAGTCCTTCCTAGCGCACTGCCCAAGCGGCAGGGCAAATGGTTCACTCATGAATGAGAAATCCGTCCCCAAAAACCCCGCGCCTGCGCCGCGACCGTAACCCAAAGACGACTTCGCTCACTTTAACATAACGTTCGCGCTAGAACCATTCTAAGTGACCCACTGCGGTCACGGCGCAAGAGCGGAGGGTTTCGGGACGGATTTCTCAGCCGTGAATAAATCTTTTGCACTGCCGCCTGGGCAGTGCCTTGGTTAGGACCCCCTCATAAGTTTCCAGGCGACCTCACGTGCCCGATTTGCCTGAACACTGCCTTTTAGAAACAACGTTTAGGCGAATCTGGACATAGGATTTTCATGTAAAAACCTGTTTTGAGGGCCTAAGACACTGCCCAAGCGGCCACAGAGATGTGGACTTGTGACTGAGATGTTCTTGTCCAACCAGCTTGCATCCGATTGTTTTTGTGTGTGGGCCTGCCCGTAATGGGTACCCGCCAAAATCCAAGCCGATGCAGTTGGCCCGCCGAGCCTTCAGGAAATAAGTAGCTGGACACTGCCTTCAAGGTACTTGCACATCGCGCTGGCAGACTGCTAGCGCCCCAGCCGTAGCCGCCTTTAGCAGTTTATCGCTAGCCATCATTTCGTTTCCAAGGAAGTGCGGATTTATCGCATTTTCACTACACTCCAATGCACACATTCACGTCTGCTCGTTTCCCACATTCTTTTCTTATTCTCGCTCTTGTGCAATTCGGCTCTCAAACATTATCGTAATAAACACTGTCATCATTATCTGATTGCTTTGTAAGCTTTAGCTAAAGAGCAATCGTCAGCTAAAGCATACGGGAAAAGGCCAGTTCTCGTTTGTGACTGTCTTGTCTAAAATGATTATGAATAGTTAATTCAGTCCTTCGAATTGTGATCAGTTCGCCTTGACTTCCCCTTTTTCTCATATGCTTTTGCATCGACTTTTTTCCCGGTATGCTTTAGCTAAGCCACCTCTTTTTATGCTCTACCCACAGCATACCTTTCGTTATACCTCACAGCCATATCCCACTTCCTTCCTACTGCTTTTGCAGAGAAGATCTTGTCTGCAAAACTTCTTTTTTCCAACGAGAAGAATAAGGAATTGCCGACCTCACCATCAACTTCAATGCATACTCATCCTCTTCATTCATTTCATCCGATTCAAAAACAAAGCAAAACTTGTCGTGATGCTGCGTTTGATTTTAGAGTGGAAGAAGTATCTAAATGAAGAGGATTGGTATAGTTTGCCTCATGTAGTACGCTCTCGTTCCAAGTAAATCTCAAACATGATACATAAGAGACACAAAACTGTATCAACATTTTCCATTCGGTAAAAATGCGATGACTCGCTCCCAGCAAGGGAAAAGTGGCTCAAGGCGGCTAGCGGCGACCGCCAGCGCGATATGAAGGTACCCTAGCAAAGTTCTTGTTTTATAGAGGGGAACGCTCTTTCGTTTAGAATTTGAACGCACTTTTGTTCAGTACCTTCTCGAGCACTATACGCCAAGATGCGAGAGTCTGCCGAAGATGTGGCTTGGATTAGGCGCGTATGTTTACAAGTGGATTGCCTCGCCAACGCAAGGACTATGGATGGCCATAAGTGCACAGCTTCGTTCTTCGGCTTTTGATTGCATCGAAATATCATTGTTATAGCACTTTGTGCACTGGGATCTGCTCCTACATATTATGGATTCTTTACCACTGCAAGTTTTTTGCAAAATTATGCGGATTCTACACGATTGCATTACACACAAGCAAGACGACGTAGGAGGAAGGTTTGAAAAATTGATACCATAATTAACCCAAAAAACTATGGGACTGGTCCTCATGTAATTTAGCTTTTAATTTTCGCATTCTCACATGCACAGACTTGCTCACATTCAAAACAACAAAAGCTTTCTTTCACGAAAAAATGTCCCTAATTCTTTGTCAGCCAAATCTCATGTGAAATCTCAATTCTACCTTCTCTAGTATTGTTCTCCTTTCCCATTGTTAGAAGCATTGAGAAAACGCAAGTTTATTCCACATGTCAGAGCAAAGTGGCAAACCAATCACTATACTACTAGAAATACTTTGTGTTGTAAATTCGCTCTATGAAGTTTTACAAAGATAAAATTGCGATTTTTCATTGCATTTCAAAGCTATTGAGTATGTGATAAAGCGCTAAGCGTCTGTCTTTTTGTGCGTGTGTGTATGTCCGTCTGTCATGAAATTTATAGAGAGAGCTACAGCCAAGCTTTTGAGCTACAATTTTGCATAGCATACCGTACCAGCATGTAGATCCACTATGCATAAGGATGAGCCAGTTTGATGACGGGTCCTTCAAAATTTGCGCCTACGGGTCCACACGGCTTTTGGCATGCAAAACTAGGTCGCTAATGTAACTTTTTGCAAACTCATGATTTGCCTGACAAGTAGACCTGCGCTCCATGAATTCTAGTATTCTAAAAATTCTGTAATCTAAAAAGTGCTCAAAAGTTTGCTTTTCTGCGAAACCGCGCCAAAAAGTGGTGATCGTATAGCTAGTCGATTTGTCAAGCTTCTACCCAAAAACTGAAAAGATTTTTGCATGTAAATGTAGCCCAAAACGACTATTATCTTCATGACCATTATCACACCAAATTACCGCCATATTACTTTTACTACTTGAAACCACATTTTGAAAGGTTCAAAGTGCCAGAGAGTAGCTCCTTCATAAACCCTTTCAGAGAATCTTTTTCAGCCGCGGAAACGCGCTCAATATCGTAAAAGCCAAAAAGATAAAAGAACTATCTAAGATTTTCCGCCAGTGAAAGCAAGGCAAAACTAAAATGATTTCTAATTTGTAAGGTCACTGCTTGTATAAAGCAAAATTTGATACGGTTTCTAAGATACGAAAGTGTACTTAATTTTTCTGTTAAGGAATAGATAACATTTTTGCGAGTAACTATGAGTGATTCAAATAAGTTTTTCAGTGCAAGTATGTACAAGATGCTTTGGCACGGCGGAAATTGTTTCCAAGCGGAAGCGTGATTACCACGAAACACACAGGATCTCGGAGTGTTGTGACAGAAACCCCTCTGTCGACAAGTGTTCCAACGAGTTCAGTAACGAGGAAGAGCATCAGGAATGAAAGCTTCAGAAAAGTCAAGCAGAAAAATCCATCGAAAAGTCATAGTACTTCGCGAGAGATCATAAAAGAAGAAAAGAGAAGTACGATGACTCCAGGCAGTCGTAGTTCAAGACAAGAACCAACAGGCAAGAGTGCGCCACGAGAAAATTCGCCGTTCGGTACTCCGCGTAACAGACACTCAAATATATCAGAGAAATCGAAACTGGATAAATTCAGTGCACCTTCTTCAAAGCCAGCAAGTAAAAATGTATCTCAAGGAGGATTGAGCGTCAGTCAAAGTACACAATCAGAACAAACAAATAAGTTGGAAAATGCAAGCGATGTTACGCAAAGCTCAAAGAAGTTTGTGCCAAGATCTTTATTACCGATCACATCAAGAGCGTTGAATATATTCAAGTCCTTTACTGACTCACGCTCCAAACGTAGTTCGAAAGAACGGCTGAGAAAAAATGGTACATCTAAAGATAGACTTAAGAGTGAAGAGGAATCAAAACCTGGCAAACAATTGGCCCAATTACAAAAACTCGCCTATATAGCAGATTCCCAGGAAGGAATCTCAAAACAAAAAGAGAGAAATTCGAAGGAACAAATGACAAACACAAGTTCTGATGAAAGGAGCCATGAAGAGGCAAATAACAATTTTCGGCTGTAACGCACAAAGTATGAATATAAATTTGACATCTTCTTTAACGTGTAATTTTTCGCTTTTTAGAAAGAGTGTGTGAGTGAAGCAATTTGCAACAAATAGCAGTCCAACAATAAAAATACAAGCCAACTTCAACTTACTGCAATTTTTTTGATCGAGAGTGTTATAAATATTTGAATATTTCTTGCAGAATCTAAACTGCTTTACAATGTATACTAAGGTCATTTTGTAAATAGGTTAAAATGAAGCTTGAAACAACGCTTGAATATCTGAGTTATGCGGAATACAAGGTGTCCCAAAAGTATGTATACATTGTTTGATCGTTAATATCTCTCTTTCCTAAAAGTCTTTTGCCCACCTTCAAGTGCCATTTTAAAGAGATGGATTAACTTAATTTTAAAGTATGGAGCAAATCACCGATCATTCTTTATTACTGTAGGATTACGATAGAAACTCCAGGAAGGGTATTGAACGATTGGGGGCTCTAATTCGCCTCGAAAAGCAAACCAAACAACCTAAAAACTTTTGAAATAGGCTAATCAGAGCGGCTAAAACCAGTATAAACTTCGAATTTTACCACAACGCTTCCTTCATAACTCAGTCCGAGTGAACCGCAATAACTGTCTTTACAGTGGTCTCTAAAATCGTAATTACTTCATATGAAAAACTTTACAGACTTCTAAAAATTGAGTAATGCAATCAGCGCGCGTGAAATTCCTGATACACAACTTTTCAGATATTTTGAAACTTCTTTGAAACGCGACGACTCCATAATGACGCTGTGTGGCAAAAGTTTTCTACCGTAATGCTACAGTAATGAAGAGCAGACAATGGTTCGCTCTATACCGTAAATCTAACAATAAATTGAGGTCAGCTCTGCATGGTTCCTGAAGTTAGGTAAAACACTCCGTGGTAAGAGAGATGTTAACGATCAAACAGTGTATACATACTTTTGGGACAACCTGTATTCTCAGATGCTACTCAACGTTTAGGACAAGGGAAATCTTTGTTGTCATAAGCACTAATCGACATAGTCGCCTCCTTCCAAACCCGTTCACTATGTATCGGGTGTGAAGACTCTAGGTGATATTGGACCGGCAAAGTAGTGAAATGAAATCGATATCGGTGGATGTTTATTAATGGTTGTGAGCGGTATAGTGCATAAGATATGAACTTTTGATTGCAAGGAGGAGAGTGAAGTTTGATTTCAAGGAGGCACTTAAGTTAGACTCGCCTTTCAAAAAAAGACATATGTGGTTGTAATCAGCTTGAAACGCTAGTTCCAAACAGCTACCGCTAGCTGCGGCGCATCATTTAAATGAAATATGAGCTTTTTTATGCTAAATTAGCACACTATTCAACACGGGAGAGCTGCCTATAGATAATAAAATTGCACAGAAAAAGAAATGCCGGGTAGCTATCCGAGTCTTTCGTTATATCGCGCTTATTGCTCTATTTTAGCTTTTATATGATGATAGACGATGATATAATATGGCGGTTGTCAAGCCGAGATAAATTCGGTAACTAATTCATATTCGCACTTCTCTTGCAAATAAGCTGCTTCTCTCAAAGACGCCGATCTCACATGGAACAGCTCAGTGAGTAGTTGTTTACGCTTCATTCGTAATTGTTGGCATTTTGCGGTGAGTTCAAAGCGATCATGATGTCAGGATGAGGACGAATAGATATAGTAGAGCCAGTGTCTCTGCGAAGCAGAGGTGACGACTGGTCATGACTTATAATAAGCCGCTAATCCGTGTGTCTGTAAGTTGGTGTGTTACGAAATTAAGTGAAGAATTATTCACATTGCTTCAATGCATGTGAGAGCTGCTTGTAAGGTTTATTTTTGTGGTTACTTAGCGGTCTCTCAATGAAAGGTATACTATATTTGAGAAAATTCGATTTTTTCGAAAATTCAAATCTTATATATAAAGCTGAATGTCTGTTTGTCTGTATGTCTGTATGTCTGTATGTATGTACGTATGTTCCGAATAGAAAATTCCATTTCTGAACCGATCGGGACCAAACTTGACACACATACACTTCGGGCCCCGGCGGGTGTCATAGGCTACTTTTCGTATCGATCGATATCGATTTTATCGATTTTTTGCAAAATTTGAGCTACGGGGCTGGGAGTTGGCACAGGGGGGTAAGTAAGCATGGGGATTCCGAATACAATATTAGTTTTTAAAATCGTGCATTACTTTTATCGATATTATCGATTTTTTTGCAAAGTTTGAGCTACGGGGCTGGGATTTGGCACAGGGGGGTAATCGAGCGTGCTGATCACCACCGTGGGGGTGATCAGCATGCTCGATTACACCCCTCTGCCAACTCCCAGCCCCGTAGCTCAAATTTTGCAAAAAATCGATAAAATCGACATCGATCGATAACGAAAAGTGGACTGTGACACCCGCCGGGGCCCGAAGGGTATGTGTGCCAAGTTTGGTCCGGATCGGTTAAGAAATGGAATTTTCTATTCGGAACATACGGCGGAGCCGGGTAAGCCAGCTAGTATCGAATAATATCCGAAAATTGAAAATTTCGAATATTAGACTATCGAATATTTAGAAAATTGAAAACTTTGAATGTTCGACTATCAAACATTCTTCGAAAATGGAAGTCTTCGAATCGAATATTATTCGACTATCGAATATCATTCGTTAATCAAGTTTCAAGCATTATTCGGTTTTCGAACAGTATTCAATTTTTGAATATCACTCGATTTTCGAATACTATTCGAATAATTTATGTCAGTGAGACACCTATGAGAGACCAAAACATCTAACAAGGGAACGATCCCAACTTAAGGCGGATTGGAATGAACCGCATATTATCAGATGCGTCTTGATGAGCTGATTCCAAAACTACCTTTCATATCTGCGATGCCGTTCTCTACAAAAGATTATGAGCGGTTGAAAATGTGAAGTCATTGGGGTTTCAGTGCATAATCTTCAGAATCTAACTTGGGAGTGTATGACTACCATGATATTGTGGGTGCTGATTCCAGGGAATGCTTACATCCAAAAGAAACACAAATAAGTGTTTTTGAACAACTAAAAGGCAATCAAAGTTCTTTGGTAAAAGCTATGAGCAATGAAAAGTCCAATTTTGGCAACTATACAACGCCATACCTCAAGAATTAGTTGATTAAAAACACTTCTTTGTGTTTCCGTTGAATGTGAACATTCTTTGAAATCAGTACACTCAATATCATACTGGTCATGCACTTTCAAGTTGAATTTCAAAGCACATTATACATTGAAACCACAGTGAGTTCACAAATTTAACCGCTCATAACTTCTTCCTGAGATCGGCATCGCAAATGTAAATGATAGATTTGGAATCAGTTCACCAAGACGCATAATGATATGCGAGTCATTCCAGTTTGCCACCTTGAGTTGGGATCGTTCCCTTGTTGGGTAAAATCTTGACAAATCGATTCCCTACTCAATTATTCATTTTTGGCGCCGTCTTGCGTGAAAGTAGACTTTTTGTTCACTTTTCGTGCTGGTGTCCATGGTTTGCGGATGTACTTGTCAACAAATCCACGACTTTGGAAGAAGTTCAATTACAGAAAAACTTTAGAGCGCCGAAAGTCCCGCAGATCCGTTGGATGCACAGTTTCAGTGGTTCCACTTTCTGGATCAGCTTGTGCTTTTGCACAGTTTATACACGCTGATTGGGGGCCATGACCAAAATTGTAGCGCAAAAGCTTGGCTGCAACTCGTCTTAAGATTTTCGTGACAGACGGATATCTAAACAGAGAAACAGACGTAAACAACCTTCCCGTTATTACTAAGCCATGATCGTGGTTACTTTACATCTGGCATAACACAAGGAAAGAGCGCTGTAAAGTGCGAGTTTTATAAAGCAACATCAGCGACCTTATTTGACCCTAGTGTAAGAGTTTTCAACTTCTTCAGTGCTTTTCAAGAGTGAAATATAATCCTCAATGACTGAATGACCCTCAGTTGATCCGTGAAGTCAGCACTCTACGGTGAGTCTCAATGCCATCGTTATGCGAGAATGAGTAACTACAAACAGCGGGATCAGTGCGAGCCTTTTTGCGAAGCAGAGATGACGCTATGGTGAGTAGAAGCGGCTCTTGGACTGGTGAATTGTAGGCACGCTTCTCACAAATTTAACCCGCTTGAGCCCCGTTTTCTCTAATGGGTCATTTGAGTCTTTCCCAAACAGGACATTCCAAAATTGGAGTGATGCGCATCCGCATCGCCACGGTTTTGAGTCAGTAAAGCTTGTCTGCTCTCTCTATCGCTTCGCTCTCTACAATACTGTGCATATGCATCGCAGACCCTATGGCTGCGAGCGCTTAGATTTACCTTCAGCCTGACTGATTCGGAATACAATGAATTAGGTGTGCATATGAGCATGATCGAAGTCAAATTTGAGAAAGCTATGAAGACTATTATATACGAAATTGAACGTTCTTTTGTTGGTCTGTATGCATGTTCGTATGTAGAATACAAATTTTCATTTTTGGACCGATACGGACCAAACTTTGCACAAATACACTTGGGAGCGGGGCGAGGGTCGTAGGCTACTTTTCATTATCGATCGATGTCGATTTCATCTGTTTCTCTGCAAAATTTGGGCCACCGGGATGGGAGTTGGCAAAGGGGGTAAGTGAGCATGCTGATTGCGAATACAGTGGTGCTCAGAACTACCGATTACTTTCATCGAGTTTGTCGATTTTTTTTGCAAAAGTAGCTGCGGGGCTGCTCAGGAATTCGCGCCGTGCGAGCGATACTCCTATAAGCACTAGCGTGCAAGCGATCAACACAAACCTTAAGGCAGCGTTTAGGCAGATCTAGACATCATCGGTTATCATCAAAACCGAGTACTATGACAGTGATCTAGAACTGTCGCGCAAATCCGACTCACAAACACCCCGTGTAAAGGGAGAAAATCGGCGCAGAAAACGACGAGATTCAAGGACATGTCCACTTGCTCGCACGGCCCACCCCCTTCAACGAACTTTCGCCAGCTTTTGACGTATTTTCTCGTGGCAAACACAACTGAAACATGCCTACCTGTTGATGATTGCTTTCGACAAGAATGGCATCAAGAGCATCCATCCACGGTTCTCAAGAAATTGTCTCAAAATGGAGTTTTATCAAAAATTCACGTTGAGTGCCATATTTGGAATCAGCGCTATGAAAAGGCCTGGTTAAGGCAAAAAAATAGAAGTCGCGATTCTGCTTGGACGCTGCCTTTGAGCTTCCGTGCATGCGGTAAACAGTCAAAGTGACGTCCAAGCGGCAGACAATTTACCGTGCGATCGCCCGGCATTACATTTGCTCAAAAAGTGGCGAGCAGTGTGTTAGCCTGATCGGTCGGCAACACCCTTCATCTTGCAAGCAGCCAACAATGACCTTCGTCTTCTCCTCATAATCCTCACACGTTGTGATCGTAAGCGGTACATGAGATTACGATGCAGTTTTGACTGCCCTTAGCGTTGTTATGTCGTACCAGTGCGTCACTTCTGCTTTGCAGAGGCTCGCACTGGCTATATCTATGTGCTTTACTCATGCTCGTAGAATTTTCTCACTGGAACTCACCGCGCTATGCCGACTACCACGAATAAGATGTAAACAACTACTCATTTAGAAAGTTTATTCACGTGAGATCGGTGATTTCGCGTAAATGAAACTTTTCGCAGGAAGACAAACGCAAATTTGGAAAGTTTTTTGAATTTGTCATGGCTTGGTAGTCACCATAAAGGCAATAGTAACCATGAGCTACATCTCTGTGCGAAAATCTTCTCAAATGCTTGGCTAGAACCTTGGCAAATTGACCATTTACGCAACCAATTCTTTTTGACGCCGTTTCCGTTATATAGTAAACATCTGACCATTTTTCGGGCTAAAGTCCATCGCCTTGCACATTGTTTACCAGACACATCTACGACTTTGCAAAAAGTGGTGATACGCCCAATTTTGCGGGACAGAAGTCAGGTGGACCCGTTTGACGCGCAATTTCTGAGGAATCCACTCAACGAATCTACTCGTGCTTTTGCATGTTGGACTTTCATGAAGGCAGCATGCGCTATGCGAAATTTGGGCTTAGAACGCTGGCTGGAACACGCTCCACGAATTTCGTAACAGACACAAAAACACGTAAACAACCCTTAGCCCGTTATTATAAGGTCTTGATATGTCGTATATCAACAACTTTTCTTGATCATCAAATGAGCGTGTAGGAGAAATGCTTTAATTATCATATGAAGCTAACTTTCTCGTAAAGGGTTCGGGCACTTTGCAGAAATTGTTCGCAGAATGTGAGCAGATCTAAGGAGGAAAGTACTTTCAATGGCCGTGGCCTTTTGATATGAGATGCATATCATCTGAAGCAGCTTCGGACGCTGATTTTGAATCTTCTTTCCTTGTCTGCGGAGCGCTCTTTTGAAAAGAGTTGTGGAAGCCTGAAAATCCTACTTTGGGGCGATCCTTATGTTAGAAAGCGCTGCTATGTGCGTTGGTGGTGTAGTGGTTGATTGTTGACATTGAAGGAGAAAGGCCGACGGTTCGAATTCTGTGCAGAGCGTACCATTTTGCACTACGAATGTAAGTTTAGAAACACTGTAATTCGTCTGCACACACTTACTGTAATGCCCTGGGCAAAAATTTTTCTGGCAGAACCACTTGCTTGTTGAGATTTGGTTTTCTCCGCAAAAAAATTCATGTACAGGCATGAAGCGAAATCACAAAGTAAGCAAAACACAGACATTTCTCACAACTGGAACAGCGTATGAAGAAAACCTCTGCGCAATTCTCATGCTCGCAAGTATCCATTAAGATACCAGGGGAACAATATTGGAGTGGCGTTTCAAATAGATTCAAAACCTTCCAAATGAATTCAATCAAACCGGATTCGAACCATCGACCTCTCGTCTTTAATGCCAACAACTAACCTTTACATCACTGCAAAACCAACGCAGCGTCGTCAAACTCAAGGAGCGCCCGAAAACAGGATATTCAGGCTTCCATAACTCTCTTTAGAGGAGAAAAGGAAAGAAAAGGAAAGCAGATTTGAAATCAGCGTTCGAAGCTGCTTCAGATGATATGCATCTCATATGAAGAGGCCACGGCCATTGAAAAGGTAATTAGAATAGAATTGGTTAAGGTACCTCATGCTAAATCACCCCAACAGCAAGCAAGCGGGTGATTTTAGCCGCGCAAGCGGCAAGTAGTACTAAAAGTGCGTGCGCCCCACGTTGACTCTGCGATCGATTTTTTGCGAAGTTTAGGCTACGCGGCTAGGAATTGGCACAGGGGGCTAGGTGGACGTGCTGACTACAAAAAACGGGGATAGGGAACTGCCATGTGAAAGTGGGCATAGGATAAGGCTGTACTGGAAGACGGATAGTGACCTTTATTATAGTGTTATGACAGAGCAGGGCGAAGCCGAGTATGCCAGTTAGTGTGAATATAGCTTTGAGCGTGTTTTCTAGCTCCATTTCGGCCGGGTGCCAGCAGAATTAGGCCCAACGGTTTGCTTACATAAATTCGTAATTATGTTCATACGTCGTGTTTACAAGTTGAGAGGTACGAAACAATGCGAAATCCTTCAAATCTATAGCTCTCTGCTTCTAATGGCTTTTTGAAAGTTCTAAGGGTGGCGCAATCCTGCTCTGATCGCAAAGCAGGGCCCGAAAGAGAGGCTAGCAATCTCTTTTTATTACATCATTCAACGAGCAAGCATTATTTAAGGCCGCATGCATTATCATTCCAGCCGGGGAGGGGATCGCAGCAATGAAAGCTTCATATCCTGTAGCTCCGAACTTCAGGATTTTACGCTGTCTTACTACCCGTAAGTATTCCTACCATCCTTCACTATAGACATATCAAACTGGAGCGAGAAGCTGTACAAGCCGCATTTTCCAGCCTTTTGTTTGATCCCTGATGATCCCTGGCGGCCAACCCTCTCCTCTCAAAAGTCATTTTTCTATCCTCGAAGTTAACGAAAACACTCCAGAGTTGTACTGAGCTAAGCTGATGTTGCTGATGAGAACAAATTACTTGTTGAAAAATCGAATTTTTCGGTAAACCACAACTTCCGACTTGTGGTTCATGGCAAATTTCATGAATTCGAAACATCAGGGCCGGTAGTAATCTACCCTACCTGGTGGCATCATAGATGCCGGCAAGTAAGCGCACATCGCGAGAAGATGCCATCTCCGGTGGCAGCTCGCGGAGTGATTTTAGGTTCTAGTAATCTTATATAACCTTAGTACGCAATCATTTCGCACATGTTTTGATGACGCAGACAGCTGCAGAACTGCTACATCGCACGCGTTCGAAACCTAAGAGCGTCAACTTCAAGTGCTACCACGCTAACCATTCGACCATTCGGTCAATCATAGTCGTTTGTACCACCAATAGGAGGAACGCGCTGGTAAGTGGCCGCCTGTAAGAGGGATCGATACATTGCGTGAGAGACTTTGAAAGAGGAGCTGGTTGATATGAGCAAGAGAGGGGCGAAATTGGTGCAAACGAGATTTAGAGGATTGCCAAAAAAAATGGTTTCTTCATGATTCTGAAGCATTACTAGCTTTTTTTCTGCAAGAAAATCGTCGTTTCAAAAAAGAAAAACCCATATAATGAGAAAAATGATAATTTTCTAATGGAGAGTAGAATTTTTCTTGATTCATTCGCTTAACGTAAACTGTGTGATATTGCCGCATTACCCATTTTCGCAGACGCCGTTGGCAAAGGAGCCAGCACCTCGATGTGGTAGAAGCATGTCGAGATGTCGGCAGCTTCCTCTATCAAAAGAACACGCTATTTCTCATACTCTCTGACCTGCCGGCAGCTGCCACCTCGCGGATCGGCGAGCTGCCGGCAGACTGCTGGCAACTGACCTCGCGAAGTTGCCGGCAGCTCCTCCTGCGCTTCCAGATATTTTCCTACATGAAGATTTCTGGAATCGCAAATTTCGATGGAGGTTTTTATAGAGCCGAAGTGGCATCTTCATCGAGAAAATTTTTTGAAAAAAGGCCTGGGGCGGCTTAAACTCGGGGTTTTAGTTTCTCGCCACCTCAAGGAAAGGTGCCAGCGACCTGCCGACGAGACTTGCCGCCAGGTCGGATTACTATCGGCCCAGTTGTTCTTACCAGAAACATGATTACCACTGTTGGGTTAGATAAACTACACAGCTTTGGAAGCTTTTCGTTGACCTCGAAGAAAGAAAAATGACTTTGATGAAGAGACGATCGGCAGTCGAGGATCACCGGGAGATCATACAAAAAGCTGAATAATCCGCTTGTTCAGCTTCTCGCTCCTGTTCAGTATGTTAGTAGTGAAGGAAGGTAGGAATACTTACGGGTAAGATAAGGCATGCGGTCCTTACAATCACTTAACTTCAGATTTTCTTTTGTAAGCATAGGACGTTTGCCAAGGGACTTTTCGCCGAAAGTCTCGTGGCAAACTACAAACTCGCAGCTTTACATCTTACAGCATCTTACAGCCTGTTTCGACCCGTTAGGCCTAAAAGATGAACATTGAAGTTGCACCGTCTGCTTCAAAGCGAGAATGGTTTAATTAACTCATTATCTACATCACAAGCGGTGCAAACAAGATCAGTCATAATGCCAAAAGGTTTAGACACCTAGTTTTGTCTCAATACCAGCTACATTAGGTGTATTCAGATTGCTATGCGCCAGATATAAAGACCACTGAGCTAAAGTCTCCAGAAATAGGAGCGGTAATGGGAAGTCTGTATGATGTCAGCGCCTATTTGATGGAAGCAGTTGTCGACCCATTACCTTTTCATACCATAGAGGTAAGATCATCAAACAAACGGCAATGAACTTAGTGAATACGATGTGAAAATATGGAAAAAATATCGCATGTTCTTTGCATGGTAACCGTTGATGAAAACGATGATGAAGACGTGACCTACATGAGCTTGATAAAACGAATACTTTGAAATGCTTCTTAAGGGTTGTTGCACGCTCGGTCTAGAAAGATTCTCAAGATGCTTGGCAGCTTCTTAGGCCCGCATGCGCTGACCTCCCTGCGGCCAGGTGAGAGGCGTTCTCAATGATGAAAAAGTCGCAGCGGCGTTCGCGCACAGACCCCTTCATAACGGAGGACGCCGCTCTCCTGGCCGCAGAAATGTTAGTGCATAAGGGCTTTGGAGCAATATCGGTACCGTAGACAAGCTGAGTAGTTTTAGTAGGGGATACTCAACTGATCCTCAAAAGGTCAGGTCGGAATGCCGGAAGACAACTCTGCTCGATCGTCTGTGTCAAGCAATCTGGAGTAATGAAAGCATTCACAGATTGCTTACAGTGAGAAAACACTGATTAAAAACAAATCAAAAGAGAAAGTTTTTTGCCTAACATGTTAACGTGTGGAAGCGAAGCCTACTGAAGTAGAGTCGGTACTGACGAGTGCACTTGACGCACTTGGACCGAATATGAACAAGCCATCTTGGATGGTCACTATCAAGGTAGTACCGAGGTCCAGAACGGAAATACCTTACAAGCGAAGCATGTTTAGTCGAAGTGGCCTTTTCAGATGAGATGCATACTTTATTGAAGGGCATAAATCGCTAATTCGAAATCTGCCTTCCTTATCTGCAGAATTATGGACAAGGCGTTATGAGCGTTTATGGGGACAAAACATTAAATGTGCAGGTAAGACAGAAGTGACTCAAATACTTTTTTAGCTCTTCAATGAGGCAGTGATAATCATCAAAGCACCTCATGCAATGAATACGTTAAGAAAAAATTATCATATCGCTGCATTGTTCAAGGGTGGTGAGATCTTAGCAACTCATTTCATCCAAATGCACATTCAATTTTTCTCTTTAATGAGCGCTTATGTTAGATTGAACCGAAAATTCGTTCGCACCATATTCAAAAATCCATAACTTCTGATTTTTCCAACCAATTTGACCACTTTCATTTTTGTATGAAAGAGTAATTCATGCTCTTTATAAAGACATCTTAGCTGCTTACTAATGCCCATCTGTTGCATAGATGGGAGCGATAGAAGAAAATTAGTCAAAATTCGAATTTTCTGTATAGGGTCATAAAAAATAGGAAACTTGCACTAAAAATCGGAACAGTCATTATTATAGGTCTTTTCACCAGTTCTTTCTAACAGTGCTAAGTTTGCGCCGATTGAGCGTCTTTATGAAAAGTTAAGATTTTCGAGAAAAATGCCAAAATAAATCAAATTCGCCCTTTTGTATTGCTTTTTCGAGAATCATAACTTTTCATAGAGGCGCTCAATCAGCGCAAACTTTGCACAATCAGAAAGAGCTGGTGAAACAATCTATAATACTGACTGCTCCGATTTTTGCTGCAAGTTTCCGATTTTTTATGAGCCTACACAGAAAATTCGAATTTTGACTAATTTTTTTCTATCGCTCCTATCTATGCAACAGATGGGCATTAGTAAGCAGCTAAGATGTCTTTGAAGAGAGCATGGATTACTCTTTCATACAAAAATAAATGTGGTCAAATTGGTTGGAAAAATCAGAACTTATGAATTTTTGAAAATGGTGCGAACGAACTTTCGGTTCAATTTAATAATTCCTCGTCCATGAATGTTTTGCAGATAAGGAAGACAGGTTTGGAACCAGTTTGTGCTCTTCATCATGGTATATATCTCATTCGAAAAGACCTTGGAATGAAAAAGCTTTCCTTGTTAGTCAAACTGGATCTCGTTTTTAGGCCACAAAACATCTTGTAAATTATCTCAAACATTCATATAAAACAACGTCGCAGACATGCTCGCCCACTAACCAAAAGTTGATACATTGCTGACATGCCTCAAAATGTGCTTTTCCTAGCACAAAACACAAAGTTTATCATTCTCATGAGACTGAAATTCAAAATTTGTAGATATGCCCGTTAATATGTATGTGTTCTGCTGACATCTTTGAGCGTTAAGCAATTCAGCTGAAATTTTGCACACATATATCTTCTAAAACGGCGGAAAGTGTAAACTACATGTGTGGCAGCCTGCTGTACCTTTCTATTGACTCATTCATATTTAGCATTTTGCAATTAAAATGCGGTAATTCGACCCGCATCTTGTGGCAGGTGGAAATGGTGGTACAGGAGCCCTAAGCGGTTATATTCGAGCATGTTGTAGGAAGGTTGTGGAGAGCAGAGGGCTGGTTTGGATGAGAAAAGGGGAATTAGACTTCTCATGCTCCAGGATCCACACAGAATCCGCGCTGAATCATTTTGTAACCATGACTCGGGCGTGACCGCGGATGCCGGCTAGTTACTTGATAATTGTTGAGGCCATTGTTTTTGCCTCTGTGTATAAGCCTGTCACAAATTTCATAGAGTGAAATGCAGCTAATCTCTCGCGCCAGAAACTTGCATAGCGGCATGTAGGTGCGACAATATATTATACAACAATCGGCTAGCAACTTTTGCTGAGGCCGGTAATTGTGCCTCGCATGGACTTTGCACAAATCAGCGTTTTTTCTTTGCGTTGTCACTGCGGGGGCTACTATGAACCCAAAACGCATAGAATAATTCATTCAGCAGATACTGGGCGCAAGTCTGTAGATACGCCCATAATATCAGAAGCTGTATGGTCAACTTACATAAAAAGATTATCCAGATCATTCTATGTAAGGTGCCTTATTCTACAAAAAACCTTTTGTTCCCTGATTTTATATAAATGCTTTTACACGGGTGATACCCAGCAATTTTTTTTGCGAAACTTATAAAGAGATAAATATCTTTGCATTGTTACTTTCAAACTTTACGTTTAAAATGCTCTAAAATTGCCCTTACAGAAAGCAGCTGGCCAAGTTGACAATCCACATGAACTATTATTTTGGCTATCGAAAAGTGTGGAGGAAAATGTGAGTTTTCGAACTATCAACACCATTATTGATTACTATCTATGATACTAACATGTTCAGTACGTTATGCGCGCTTTGCTTACGTTCTGGGCAGCACTATGCGGCATTTTTTCTCTCGTATCAGTGGCGACATGTTTCTGCTGCGCATGTTGCATATTTGGCATTGAGGTGATTTTATTGTTGCTTAAGTAATAGGCATTTATCATTTTTCATAGACTAGAAGAGTAATCGCTGGCTCAAAAGTGCTGTCTATAAGCACAGCATTTTTCATATGTATCTTCACATCATTTATCGCCATAATCATTTATCACAACAGTCTCAAGCAAGTTCACAGTGGACTCAAAGTGTTGCCAAAACATCTGAAAACTGTGGATGATGGTAGGTCAAGGATTTGTTTTCTCATGTATTTAAGACTCTTGGAAAGATTGCATTGGAACTTAAGAAACTTAAGAAATTCGCCATGGATTCTCAGACAACGGATAGGACCCCTCCGCCGGAGAAATGGCAGGGCCGCGGCGTTTCCCCAGCGGTGGGTCTGCCACTCGTCCGCCAGAGCCCTCCCATTTCTGCTCCGGAGACCTCCCATTTTCTGCTCCGGAGACCTCCCATTTCTGCTCCGGAGACCTCCCATTTTTTGCTCCGGAGACCTCCCATTTTCTGCTCCGGATACCTCCCATTTTGCTCCGGAGACCTGCCATTTTCTGCTCCGGAGACCTCCCATTTTCTGCTCCGGAGACCTCCCATTTCTGCTCCGGAGACCTCCCATTTTCTGCTCCGGAGACCTCCCATTTCTGCTCCGGAGACCTCCCATTTTCTGCTCCGGAGACCTCCCATTTTCTGCTCCGGATACCTCCCATTTTCCGCTCCGGAGGCCTCCCATTTTGTGCTCCGGAGACCTCCCATTTTCTGCTCCTGATACCTCCCATTTTCTGCTCCGGAGACCTCCCATTTTCTGCTCCAAGACCTCCCATTTTCTGCTCCGGAGGCCTCCCATTTTGTGCTCCGTAGGCCTCCCATTTTCTGCTCCTGTTACCTCCCATTTTCTGCTCCGGAGCCCTCCCATTTCTGCTCCGGAGACCTCCCATTGGTGCTCCGGACCCCTCCGATTTTCTGCGGCGCGGCTCTGCCAAATCTGCCGTACCTCCGGAGCAGAAATGGCGTACCTTTGCAGCAGGGCCGGAGAAGCGTCCCATTTGCCTGCCAGTGATGTCACCGCGACGGACCGCCCGTTTGCCCCGCTCTCATTGGTCAACTGGGTCCGGCGCGACTCTGGCAGAATCGGACTGTCCGGCGGAGGGGTCCGGTCGATTGTCTGAGTTAGATCTGTCCAAGGCGATTTCGTTTGCTTCTTATCAGGAATTGTGCAAGACTAATTTTGACAGAGAAACTATAAACCTGAAAGCACTGCAACAAAGTATACTAGCTTATAATATCTTTTGTTCTAGTACACGCATTTAAAGGCACCATCTACCATTTTCAACTTCCACGTTTTTGTCGTTTCAGGGCTTTCTCATGTCCCGAATATGAAGTCGAGAATGCGCGGAAACCCGACAATCCCCGTTCCGGAGAACCCACAGGCCGGCTTTCTAGAGCGGTGATTGGATGGGCGCGCACAAATGGGCGGGCCTGGATGGGAGAGGGCGGACATGGATGGGGGTTCTCGTGCGTCTTCGCTGTTCCGAAGCGATTTTCTCGCTTCCGAAGCAACATTTTGCGCCGTTACTTGGGCATTGGATTGATATGGGGCCCCTACTATTATATGCTACCAGAAGCTCAACACCCTCCACTTAGGGTGGACGGTGCCCTTAAAGGCACCGTCCACCCAAAATCTCGAATTAAATGTTTTTGTCGCCTTTAGGCCTTCTGAAAGCCCTGATTTCGAATATGGAGTCGAAGATCCGCGAAACCCCCAAAAATCCCTGTTTCGAGAACCCTCTGCAACAAGCGTAGGCGAGATAAAGCATGCAAGTGGGCGGGGCGACCGGGGTCGCCCCGCCCATTTTGTTACTTCCGGAGCGGATTTCTCGCTCCAGAAGCAGTCTTTTGCGGCGAAGCTTGGAGGTTTGTCTAGTATGGGGGCCCACACTAGTATCTTATATATAAAGCTGAATGTCTGTTTGTCTGTCTGTATGTCTGTCTGTATGTCTGTCTGTACGTATGTTCCGAATAGAAAATTCCATTTCTGAACCGATCCGGACCAAACTTGGCACACATACACTTCGGGCCCCGGCGGGTGTCACAGTCCACTTTTCGTCATCGATCGATGTCGATTTTATCGATTTTTTGCAAAATTTGTGCTACAGGGCTGGAATTTGGCAGAGAGGTGTAATCGAGCATGCTGATCACCCCCACGGGGGCCACTTGGCACACATACACTTCGGGCCCGCCGGGGCCCGAAGTGCATGTGTGCCAAGTTTGGTCCGGATCGGTTCAGAAATGGAATTTTCTATTCGGAACATACGGCGGAGCCGGGTAAGCCAGCTAGTGCCATCATAATTTCGCCAACCTCCATTTTGGGTGGACGGTGCCTTTAAAGGCAGAGTCTGGGCAAAAACTCGATTTTGAGATTTTGTGCTTACCCGGGCCTATTCGCTATGCTGAATCCGATAATCCACATTGGAGCGCGCGAGAACGCCGAAAAAGGGCTCTAATACTGGAGGGAAATCAGCAAGTGGGCGGGGTCTTCCCCACTGTGAATTCACGCTTCCAGCTTCCAGAGAAATTTTCTCGAATCCGTTAGCCGCCCTGACATCACTACCGATCAAGTGCAAACTAAAGACTTGAAATCGGAATCAAAAAGATCGCCCCCGAAGCTGGGAGCGTGAATTCACCGTGGGGAAGACCCCGCCCACTTGCTGATTTCCCTCCAGTATTAGAGCCCTTTTTCGGCGTTCTCGCGCTCTCCAATGTGGATTTTCGGATTTAGCATAGCAAATAGGCCCGGGTAAGCACAAAATCTCAAAATCGAGTTGAAAGGGAAAGCCCCGCCCACCTGCTGATTTCCCTCCTGTGCTTACCCGGGCCTTTTCGCTATGCTGAATCCGAAAATCCACTTTGGAGAGCGCGAAAACGACGAAAAAGGGCCCTAACACAGGAGGGAAATCAGCAGGTGGGCGGGGCTTTTCCCAGTGCGATTTCACGCTCCTGGCTCCCGGAGCGATTTTCTCGATTCCGCTAGCCGTCCTAACATCGCTACCGGTCAAGTGCGAATGATTGACTTGAAACCCGAAGCGAGAAGGTCGCTCCGGAAGCCGGGAACGTGAATTCGCAGTGGGGAGGGCCCCGCCCACCTGTTAATTTCCCTCCTCTGTTAGAGCCGTTTTTCGCCATTTTCGCGCTCTACAATGTGCATTTTCGGATTCAGCGTAGCGAATAGGCCCAAGTAAGCACAAAATCTCAAAATCGAGTTTTTGCCCGGACACTGCCTTTAAGGGTTTAGTTCTAGTACATGTTTGTTGCTCGTAGAGGCGCCACTTCCTGAGCCATTTGTGCCACTTCCTTGCATATACAAGGTGTCTCAAAAGGATGTATATACTGTTTGATCGTTGATATCTTTCTCAGGAAGTCTTTTGCTTATTACCAGGCACCATTTTGTAAAGCTGGCTTCAGCTTAAACTTACAGTATGGGACGAATCACCGATCCCTCTTCATTGCTGTAGGATTACGTTAGAAACTTCAAGAAGGGTTGACCATTAAAGGGCCCTATTACGCCTCAGAAAGCAAACTAGACAAAGAGAATAATTTTATACTAGGCTAATCAACCGCTAAAACCAAACATGATGTTTGCACTTTACCGCAGTGTTTCCTTCATAAGTTCTACCAGGTAAACAGCAACAACTGTTTTTACAATACTTCGCGAAATCGTGATTATACCATTTGGAAAGCTATGAAAACAAAATTGAACAATAAAATCAGAAAGCGTGAAAACCCTATTGCACCACTTTTCAGATTTTTGTAAACTTTCTTGAAGCACGGTTATTCCGTAATGACGCCGTAAGCTGAAAGTCCCTACCGTAATCTTACCCTAGTGAAGAGCGATCGGTATTTCGCTCCATACTATAAATCTAACTTGAAGCCAGCTCTACAGTTTTACCTAAAGATGGGCAAAAGATTTCTTAAGAAAAAAGATATTAACGATCAAAAAGTGTATACATACTTTTGGGACACCCTGTATATATTTCCGACTTCTGCAGATGTTTTAGGCTCTTTCTTCAGCAATTCGCTGAACCATCCACTAATTTGCCGATTTTTTTCCTTGCAAAAATGAACTACTGTGAACCGCTGCTAAATCACATCAACAGTTAAGCACCAGACATATTTCACGCAATCTCATATGAGTCTCCCGCCAAAACAACTGTTACTGGTCCATCACATGTCGATCTTCTTCCACGGTAATGATAGTTATTAGCGATCATCCGTGCCGGAAAGTTAACAACTAAATGCAAGATCATCCACATGCGATGAACTCGCAAAAGTTATATTGGTGGGGGTGATAAGGCGATGAAATCGCGTGATGTGTGCCGGACCTTTATGCGAGCAATACAATAGAGCCCGCCTTTCGAAAGAACGGGTTAGGGCTCACAGTCTGCGCGTAATTTCTCCCCCCCCCCCTCCCCGAGCGGGAATCCTGCGACCGCCAGTGTCTCCAAGTGAGGTTGCTATAAGAATATGAAGATAGAATGTTTCTTTAGTTTTCCATCTGCTCATATGCCTGACCCTTCCGAGCAGCCTTGACTTTACTGCACGTTCTTTTCTTTTTTTGTCTCTTCAAGTTTTTAGGTGGTCGCTTACTCATAGCAGTTCAGATCTGAACAGACTTGCGAGCCTTTTGACGACTAACTTACATTGCATCAGTGAAAAGGAGGATCAAATATATAAAAGCAAATGTCATCACGAATTTGAGCTATTGAAAACACAGATCAATAAGACGGAAGGCATGATTGACTTTCAGTCTTTGGAAAGGGTAAATGGGTTGTTCTAGTTTTTTGTTGCTGACAGATGTTGTTTTGTACATTACACCCACAGATGATCGAACTCGCGGTAGCACTTACGAATGAGTTTGATAGTCTGAGCAGGAAAGTGGGATCGCCACAGCTAGTGCATAATCTGGTACCTGTGCTAATCCCAAAAAGTCTCATCTGTTGAAACTTTCTTCTTTAGTCTTTGGCATCTTCATCTGCGCGCACTATTCAGCAAAACCTCGACAACTTTTCTAACATGTCCAAATTTTGTGTGCAAGAGGTGCAGTTTTATAGTTTTATTTACGAGAAAAACTCGGTAAGCTTGTTATATGTTTTGAGGCTTATGCTCGGACGAAAAATTTTTTTGAGACTTTGGAAAAGACACAGGTTGACTTAGAAGAAACAGGAAAAGCCTTCGAAGAGGTTCAGTAGAAGTTTTTTTTTGGAAATGAATAAACAATCAAATTTTCCAGGCTCTTAAATTTACGATCAATAGGACCAGCAAGCTGCAGATCCAGCTTGCTGATGCATTCATGGAAAAGGTGATTGACAGGATAATTTTTTGACGCTTACGAGAACAATCAGTCTGTTTCAGAAAATTCGTCAACAAATTGAGTATTGGTTTTATGTATCGATTTTTCCTGTTTTACTAATTTGTCTCTCTCTTTTTGGGCTTACGATGGCATTCGTAGGGTAATGTTCCATGAGAGTACAATTGATTATGATATCTAACATATCTAACAGCTGGAGATTCTATTTGTCTCATTACAATCACGTTCCAAATTGGAGAGGAAACACTGTATCCATCGTTGCCGCTGCAGGCCTTTGCTTTGCAGACTCTTGCACAATGATGATTGGAGTTGCAATTTACGCACTTGCAGCGTAAGTTTCCTCGTAAATTATTGATCCCTCATCAACAAATCATATAATTTGATATGGGCAGGGCAGTACTTGGGAATAAAGTCGCCTGCACAAATCGCCCGGGTTGTTATAGGCTGAACGCACGCGAGCATGCCTGCAACGCGGCTGCCGAGTACGGGCGCTATGATGACTCATGCGCGCGAATGCCAATGTTAGCCCGCGAGAGTCAAGCGCGCGGGTGCTCATTCCGGGCGATTCCGTGCAGTCAACTAACTTATTTTCTGACTTTTCATTTTGAGCTGAATCGTTAGGCCTCGTGCAGAGTTCACGCAATTTCATCGTCGCATTTCTTCCAACAAAGCAAACAGTTACGAGCAGTCAAGCGTGGGGTGCGGCACACGCCACACCTGGGGGGGGGGGGGTCGTATTGAGGAGTCAAAAGGGGAGGGGGTCGTAGTTGGGTAATCTGATAATAGTGATAACACGATATTCGTATCTATCCATAATTAGCATGTCAAATAACCCCTGTAGACAAAGTATGAGCGAATTCTGAAGATTCAAGATACTAGGCTGGATCGATAGCCTAAATCTCCTAGTTTTCACATGACTGATTTGAACCTGTTTCGTTTTCTTAGCTCTGAGTAATATTTGGTGAAAGCACACCGATCAAAAGCGAAAAATGGGAAAAACGAGATTTTGGTTGGCTTCTAATTTCATAGTTTGGAGGTCTTCTAAAGCGGGATTTCTGAGGTGGACAAAGAGGGAGTAGTGCTTTGTCTTGAGTGCAAAAACGGATAGCTAATTCACCTTTGAAACAAAGTTAATCATGTTGGAAAATGACCATCTCACTTAGGTAGCCTAGTATCTTGAATCTTCAGAATTCGCTCACACTTTGTCTACAGGGGATTATTTGACATGCTAATTATGGATATGTTGCCCATTATGTTTGACAGGGCCTTCAAGTAATGCTATCTTAAGTGTATAGTTCAGGGGGGGGGGGGTCTTATTAAGACAGCAATCAGGGGGGGGGGGTCGTAACCAGCGATCGTGTGCCACACCCCCTTGCTTGACCCTGGTTACGAGTATATTGCACGCTGATCGTCCTGCATATCGGTTTTGATAGTTCTCCAACAAGACCAATCGTGACTAACTATCAAAACCGAAATGCAAGATGATCGGAATGCAATGGACTCGTAACAGTTGTCTCGTTGGGAGAATCGCGGCGATGAAACTCTGCCAGAGACCTTAGGCTGATTCAAAATATTCACTTAAGTAGACTCGCATTTTTTTCTAAGTAAATGCTCTTTGTTTACGCCATGTCCCTATATTTATTTTATGGTAGTGAATTTGGAGCATTCTAAAGCTAGAAAGGTCGTTGTCCTTCGAATAAGACTAGCGCTCCCGAGAGAAGAAAAGAAGCCAATTGGAGATTGGGTCCATGCATAAGAGTGTCAAAAATCGTATTGAATAGAGTACTTTAACACATTAACGACAAGGCCGAGTTTTCGATTACTGCCATTTCGGACAGGAGCCTTTTTTGCTCTGCCAGACTTACGACCCACCCGTGGGTCGTATTGTCCGAAATGGTAGTCTTTTTGTAAGAAATCATTCGGCCCTGTGTCGCCTCATTCGGCCCTGTGTCGCCTTACCGGGCATTTCCACTCATCGGGATCCAGTTTCATCTAAAGGATTTGCTAATTGTGAAGAAAGGGAACGATCCCATTCGTTGGTCATTAGCGGTGTCCCGGAACTCAAAGGATCGCGCAGCAGCTCTAAAGTCAGGCACGATTATGATTGTATTCAGCATATTTTTGATTTTCTTTCTATCGATTGTGCTCCGATTTCTATTTATCGCCTAGGAAGGCCTGGTGCTCATGACAGGCTTCTTAAAGTAGTATTACCTAGTTCCTTTTTTGTTCAGTTAGTGTTAAAACGAGCACCTAAGATGAGATCCTTCCCTTTCATACGCGGAGTTTATATCCGTCCCTCTCTTCCTAAGGAAGAGAGGGACAGGATCCGCAAAGAAAGGGAAGGTCGTCATAGTGCACCTCAAAGTGCTCATATGTCTGATCTAAGGTCATCGATTGTTCATCCTACTTCTATTGGTAGTGATAATGTGGTTGCTTCGGAGTTAGACATTCATAGAGATGAGCCTAGTTCTTATCAAGCCTGATGTTTCTACTGCAAATAGCTCCTTAGTCGGTATTTTATCAAATATTCGTTCAGTCTCTAGGAATATTGATCATCTGAGATTTTGCTTAGGTGAATGTAAGCCCTCCCTAGTTGCCATTACAGAGAGTTGGCTGAACAACACAATTAGTGATAGCTCTCTCTTTGGTGATTTTGCTCCAGATTATTCGGTTTTTCGTTGCGATCGTGCTTCAAAAAGGGGCGGAGGTGTGATGTTTCTAATCAGTACTAAGTTATGCCCTTACTTTGTGTTTGATGAATCAGTGGATGATAGCTATGAGCTCTTATGCTGTGATACTGCAGGGTATAAACCTATTCGATGGATCTTAATCTATAGGTCCCCGTCTTGCGCCTCACACCAAACAGAACAGATGATAAGAGCACTTACGGATTTGCTAGCCTGCAATAGCTCAGTCGTGCTGTTGGGAGACTTTAATTTTCCCGATGTGATCTGGGCAAGTAGTAGGGGGGCAACAGCTACTACTGCTCAGTCCAGAAGTTTCGTTCAAATGTGTCGACTCCACAGGCTAGTACAAAAGGTCATGTTCAACACCTTGGGTCACCATATGTTGGATTTAATTTTCACTAATGATTCAACACTGGTATACGGGGTTTTTGAAAGGGAGCCAATGGGTAATAGTGATCACGCATCAGTTAGGTTCAGTGTCAACAGCCAAGATGCCTTTGAATACAATAGTGTAGAGTATTATAGAGATTTCAAGCATATGAGACTAGAGGATTTGACGCACTACCTGTCCACTGTGGATTGGTATGGTTCCTTTAACAATGTGAATACAGTTGATGAGATGTATGAACTATTCTTTGGGGTACTCCATCATGCAATCGATCTATTTGTTCCTCTCGCTTGTCGCTCTTCTAAGCAATCTGAGATACCTGATTATCTCAGAAATCTTGATCAAAGCAGAAAGCAGGCATGGGGAAGGGCAATGCGTGGCAGTGATAGAAGCTGTTGGGAGGCATTTCAAAAACTTAATGAGAAGTTCAACAAAAGGCTTAAAAAATATTATTCGGCGCTTGAAATGAAGGTGATTAACTCGGGCAACAAAGCTTCTTTTTTCAGAATGCTTAGCTTGAGGCTTAAAAATAAAAGAGAAGTTGGAGTTTTGCTTACTGAAGACGGTGAACCCATTTATGGGGATAAAGAAAAGGCGGACTGCTTTGCAAGCATTTTTTAAAAAACTTTCGTGGAGGAAGACACTTCGGATACAATAGAAAATTCTCCTGAATTTCAGCAAATGAGCGATGGAGTTTGGTTTCAAAGTGAAGAAATATATCAACTTCTAGTTAGATGGCCGAAATCGTCTTCACTAACACCAGATTTTTTGCCACTTCAGTTTATCAAGGCCATAGCCCATATTATTTGTGGTCCACTTCAATTTATATACAATTTGAGTATGATGCGGAGTGAAGTCCCTTCTAGATGGAGGGTATCTTTTGTTACGCCAATCCCGAAAAAGAAGCCATTGACTTGCCCTAGCAATTTTAGACCAGTAAGTATAACCTCCATATTTTCGAGATTGTTTGAGAAAATCTTAAAAAAATGCATAGTCAAACACTTAACTGATATGAAAGTTATATGTTCCTCACAGCATGGTTTTCAAAAAGGAAAATCCACGGTCACAGCAATGCTTCAATCAGTCAATGACTGGACCCTCCAGGTGGATAAGGGTTATAACACCGATGTTATTTACTTAGACTTCTCAAAGGCATTTGATAAGGTCCCGCATAGTAAACTTATAAATAAACTGAAAGCAGTCGGTGTGCACCCACGAATAGTTGATTGGATAAGTGCGTTTCTAGATTGTAGATCTTTTGTGGTCCGTGTCGGCAAAGTTTTCTCTGAACCTAGAATGATGCGTTGTGGTGTACCTCAAGGAGGGGTGTTATCTCCCATACTTTTTAACATTTATACCCATGAACTCCCACGTATACCATTGTCGAAAGGTATATCTTGCTCTGCTTTTGCGGATGATTTCAAGTTATATGGTGTTGTTATGGATGTTGCCGATCGCGATCGTTTACAGAGTGCTCTTGATGAGATTTATCGATGGTCGCAGGATTGGGGCCTTCCTATTTCGAAAGAAAAAACAAAAGTAATGCACATTGGGGCAAGTAATCGTAAGCATCTTTACTCACTAGGGGAAACTTTACTTGAATCTGTGGATGAAATTAGAGATTTGGGGTTTCTGATCAAGAATAATCTTTGTTTTGATGATCACTGTAAAAAGATAGCTGATAAAGGTACAGCTGCGGTGTACAATCTGTTTAGGGCGCTTTCAACGAGAGATCCTGTAGTTCTTTTGAATGCTTATAAGAGTTACATAAGGCCTATGCTTGAATATGGTACGGTGATATACAACCCCTTCAAGCGCAAAAGTATCGATCTTTTGGAGAAAGTTCAGAATAGTTTTACACGCAAGCTATTGATTAGAACTGTTGGGTTCGTTTATGATCAGATTCCAAATAGCAGAACCCGGAATAGAAATCTTGGGTTAATGACCTTGGCCTGCAGAAGGAAAAGATTTGACCTTATCATGGCTCATAAGATATTCTATGAAGACTGTGGATTGAATCGGGATACGTTTTTTATTACAAAGATATCTAAAACTAGGGGCGGTACAAGAAAACTGATTATTCCAAGATCTAAGCTCAATGTACGAAGGCATTTCTTTATATGTAGAGTTTTGCCTGATGTAGACGCACTTATACGTGAACGAGTATTTGTACCTAAACTGGCTTCGTTCAAAAGATTGTTAAGGAGCTATTTGCAAAATAATGAGTCTCGTTAGTTGTTTTGTTATGACGTTGTG